GTCATGCCTTGTACTTTGAGTCATTGGGTGTTGGTTTATATGACAAAGCTGTTAGATATGATCTGGAAGCAGATACAAAGCAGAGAATAAAACCTGAACTTACGGGACCATTGGGTGCTCGTCTCTTTGATAAAGCTGTTATGTACAAGTCAACATCTGTGTATGTTATTTCTTGAATGATATTAAGTAGTTTTATAAATGTTAGTCCCTAGATTCTATTATTTGTTTCCTCTTCCTGTGAGGGTACGTTTAATAATTTATTTTGTGGTTAAACGCTTTAGTGATCTTTTACAGGACAGAACCTGTTTATTTAGAGTTTCCTGAATTCAAAGGCAGTTCTCGGCGGGATTATTGGCTGGATATCTGTCTTGAGATCCTGCGAGCACATAAGTTTATCAGGAAAAACAATCTTAATGAAACTCAGAAATCCGAAGTCCTTGCAAGGGCAGTTTTTGGCATTTTCAGAATTCGCGCAATTAGAGAAGCTTTTCATGTTTTTTCATCACATTACAGAACTGTACTCACTTTTAATCTGGCAGAAAGCCTTCCTGGGGGAGATTCGATTTTAGAAACTCTCTTGAGTCGATTGCTGATGATAAATATAGATGGTATTCAGCGTGATGCTTCTGGGAGCCCACCTGCAAAGCAGCAACGACAATCGTTTCCAATTTTTCTTCTGGCACTAAGTCAACTTGGATTCACCTTACAGAAAGAGATAGCTTATGAAGGCGACGCAGTTTTAGTTGGAGATATTTGGGCGGGTGAGACAAATCCCTTGGAAATTGTTGTGAGACAATCTATATCAGATTCAGGCAGGGCTGAGGCTGCACAAGCTACTGTTGACCAAGTGAAAGTGGAGGGTATTGATACAAATCTTGCAGTAATGAAGGTAAACGATTGAGTTTCTTGAGAAAATAAACTTGGACATTCAATGAAAGAAAAATGTTAGTACTGATTTAACTCATGGATTTGTATATCTTCCTGATCAACAACTGTTATCATCAATCGCATGTTTCAGTATCTTTTCTTGTATCTTTTTACTAGGTGGTAAGTTTTTGCATGCTCGGACATTCAATCAAAGAAAAGTATTGGATTTTATTAGAGATTACGTATTTTGGTGCTAAGTCTTTCTTCATGTCTGTCCAGGAACTGTTGTTTCCATTTCTCGAATTGGTTAGACATATTCAGATTTTGGCCTCATGGGAAGACACTAAGAAATCAACAGCTTTTCTATTGTTGTTCTGCTATGCTATTATAAGGTAAGTAGCTACTCATTATCTGGAACTTTGCATGTTTGGGTCAAAATTGAGCATTTGATTCCTGCTGGGCTCTATTGATATACAAAAACAGTGTTCCAAAACAAGCATACACAAGCTTTAATATGCTGATCTGACAGTCTTTACTTTTACCTATTAGTTTGAAGGCTGTTTGGATTAAGTTCACAATCTGTCGAGACATTTTACATGGATATAATTTACTTTTTCAACACTTTTGAGCATGAGCGACAATGGAAGTATGAATTAATACGACTAATATTTTTTTGGGCACATAGTCATAAATCTTCATGTATTTTAGTGGTAAAATTTATTAGTGATGAGCTTGAGGAGTAATAGAAGGGTCTTTCATGTCATTTTGTATCCGCTTAGGCCCATCAATTCTAGCTAAGGGAACCCCATGGTTATACTCCTAAACAAACCAGGGAGAGAATCAAAGGAGAAAAGTGAGACTTTTTTCTTTACCTTTTTTACATGAGGAATTTTGTGTAAATAAATGAAATGACAAAAATACAAAAGGATGCCAAAGGTGTTAAAGAAAGGCTCTCCAATTTGTGATAGAGGTCAGAGGCTCTCCAAGTGAAGAAACCCAAACTTCTGTATTATTTGTCCGAAAAGTTTGGAGGCGGCTGATGATATTCCTTTCTTGTACCTTCATGATCAGTCTATGGTTAAAGCTTCTGGATACTTTCCAAGTTGTCTATTTGTTAGGTTCCTCCAATTACTCCTAGAAAGCCCAGAAAGTGAAACATGTATCCTTTACACTTGCTCGAATTCCTCAACCCTTTGATGAACCCTAGTCATGCAGATCCTAGAGACCTAAGACCCCTCCCTTCATTTTTGTGAACTGACTGACAAACTGGATCAATATGGCACCAAATTGTTGAATTTCACTTCAGTTTTATCCTGTAGAGAGGAGGAGAAGAAAGTCCTCCAGGCTGTGAATTAATGCCTGTGGTCTCCTTTGGCACATCTGGTTGGAGCACAGCAAACAAGATCTTCAATTCTAAAGAACGCCACCCCTCTAGTCTCTGGGTTCCTTCATTTATATAATTTTATGAAAGCCACACAGAGACATTATAAAAATAAAAAAGGGCATACAAGGCCCAAAAGAAGGAGACAAACAAAACTAACTGTACAAAAAAGGCTCCAAGGATAATACATAACTAAATGTATTTTAAAAAGTCGTTTGAACTAACACTGAGAGAGGCATGAAACTTGGTCAGAGGCCACACCTCCTCCTCAATCTCAATTCCTCCAAGAATCCCATTGTTTCTCTCAAACTAATAACTCCTACAAAATAACAAAGAAGCTAGAGCATCATAGGAACTGACCGTTATCATGTAAAAGAGGGTGAAGACGAATCTATTTCCTCGTGGAACTACATTCTATTTCAAGCCAAGTAAACACCATAGATCTTTTCTTTTAAAAAAAAATCCAACCCTGAAGAAACTAACTGGCAACTGATTGATGATCGAGGTTTACTGTCCGCATCCTTGACTAGAATGAAATTTTGGATTCTATTTTACTCTCCACTTCTTGTTGGTGTATTAAGTATAGTTCTTTTGTAACACTTAATCTACTCCACACGCTAATATGGGAACTTTTATGCAATTTTTGTGTCCTTTTCTTTTCATTTATTCAATGAATGGTGGGTTAGTAGTAAGTTGGGTCATTTGGTGAGTCATTAGACCAATCGCACGCTGCATTTCCAACATGACTGTAATTGTTCACAAGTTGTTGCTACATCTCTTCCATCAATGCTTCAACCAACTGCAAGTGTCTGGTTTATCTTTGAAGAAGCTTTGTCTTCATGTCTGCTAAATTTTTCATATTAGCAGGAGATAACGTGATTTTTGATGTGTGAAATGCAGTAATTGGACAAGGTTTATTTTGCCTTGCTTTCTAGTATTTCTTGCGGTTCTTATGCTTTGCCGCAGGCAGTTTGGCAAAAGCAAGCCACTAGAACCTTTCAGGATCACATCACCCCCCAATCGAAATGCTGTAGAACAGCTGCTGACCTTGCAAGAAGTCATCACTCAAGTTGAAGCTTTGATTCAAGATGGGAATATTTTTCTCCTAAAAATAAGAGCCCTCTTATTTGCTGTACTTCCGCAGGTATAACCTTTTTTTCACACATGAATCAAAGCATCATATTTCGTAAAGGCTTTTGTTTTATGAAAGTGTCCCACGTTGGATAATTTAGGGAATGGTCATGGGTTTATAATCTAAGAATACACTCTCCATTGGTATGAGGCCTTTTGGGGAAGCCCAAAGCAAAGCCATGAGAGCTTATGCTCAAAGTGGACAATATCATACCATTGTGAAGAGTCGTGTTCGTCTAACAGCTTTAACATTCAGTCAATTATATAAACTTGTTATGCCGTCCATTTCCTTGTGAACAATTACGATCCCATGTCGGTATCCCTATAATGTGCATCTTCCTTGCAGGCGACAGACATGGTTGCGCTACTGCTCGTTTTTGCAGCTTTAGTTTTTGCATTTCTTCCATTTAAGTACATAGTTATGCTAGCATTAGTCGAGGCGTATACAAGGGAAATGCCATACAGGAAGGAAACCAGTAACAAATGGATTAGGCGAGCAAGAGAATGGTGGATTAGAATACCAGCAGCTCCTGTTCAGCTTGTTAAACATGATGATAACAAGAAAAAGAAATCATAAGATCAGTTGATGGCTCTAGATTCTGTATATCGTCTCACATTAAGGTACATTTGTGTGTGTATATATTCACATTTCCTTTATAAATGTGCATGAGAGATACTTTACCACTGAAAATATAAAGGAATTGAACTCAATTGTCCAAATTGAATTTATTTTTATTTTTATTGTTTACTTCGTGCAACTTGGAAGGTAGACCAGCCGATAGCGGTTCTTCTAGCTGATGGTGTGAAGCACATCAAAACCAGAGAAGACATGATGGTTTCGAGATGCCAATGATCGCAATTTTCCTCGTGATGACAATATAGCCAATTTTAGTTATCAAATTTTCAGATTCCAAAATTCGTTGTTCTAAATCTCCAACCGGTGTCTCCAATTCACGTGTAACATTCACAAATCTCTCTACCCCTTTTCGAACTCGGTTTGTAACTCACTATAAGCTCAAGAAACAAAGAAAAAATGTGTATGAATAAGATATACAGCAACAAGAAAAAGGAAAAGGCAATAGGTCTAAAAAAGTATCTAAAAATGGAAAATTTAGATATTTGTACCCTGTTGAAGTAAAGACCCTAGCATATATGTTTAGAATTTGAGATAGTTGAAAAAGCACTATCTCGTTGAAAGGTTCTATACATCTACCCTTTCTCAAGGTATTTCTTTAGACAAAGACAATGATTTTTCCTCTTTTCAAATGGTAAATATTTCTCAGAATATCCAACAAGCATGGACTATAGATTTACATTCCTCATAAAAAGCGCAAAATGTCAATGTGCACTAAAACTAAGCTAAGACAGAACGAGACAACATGATCATCAAAGACAAGACTCAAAGAGATCGATTAAAATCCCAAATCATAACCTCAAAATTCAAAGTCTAAAAAAGTCTCTATATGAATTAACATACAACTAGTAAAGCTTTACTTAAATTAGGTTGTTTCTTTCCATTTCTTATCGATAAAATCTAGATAATTCAAAATTAATTTAATATTTAATTAGAGATTTTTTATATTTCAAATCATTAAAATAATGAAACTGCATAACTAGATTTGACTAAGATGGGTTCAAATATAGATTTGAGACCAAAAACAAAACTCCAAAAATCTAGCATTTGTACGATATTTTGCTTCAAACGCAACCATAGAATCCAACAGCATTTTTACTAAGTTAGACTCTGAATGAATTTACAACAGAAACAAGGCAGTGAAGAAGGCTGTTTTCTAGCATTACGAAAGCCTACCATGGAATCTCTCCTACTCTTCATCTGTTACTTCTTCTACCTCCTTCTCTGCAACCTCTTCTGTTTCCTTTTCATCCTGATCAAAGATCCCACATTACAATTTGCAAAATTGAACACAATAATTCAACATTTTAGAGCTTAAATCTTACTTCTTCATTCTCAGCATTTCGACTTTCTTCTAAGGCCTTCTCATACTCCGCTTTCAGCTCAGCAGCTTTATCTTGGTATGGCTTCTTCTCCTGTTAATCACTTTAAGGTTTAGATACATGATTCAGAAAACGTTTACATGTTTTCAAATGGCGAGTAATCTCACTCACTTCATCAGTCATTGACTTCCATTTCTCACCACCTTCCTTTGCAACCTATAAAGATTGGAATACACAATCAGGAGTGAGGATACATTGATTTGGGTTATTGATACAATTTTATGTTGAGGATTATTGGGAGTGAATCCCACGTTGGATAATTTAGTAAAAGATTATAAGTTTATAAATGGGGAATACTATCTCAATGAGGCTTTTTGGAGAAACCCAGAGCAAAGCTATAAAAGCTTATGCTTAAAGTGGACAATATCATACCATTCTAAAGAATCGTGATTCCTAACATGGTATCAAAGCTTATCTCAAAGTGGACAATATCATACCATTCTAAAGAATCGTGATTCCTAACATGGTATCAAAGCTTCTGTCAAAGTGGACATATCATACCATTCTGGATAATCGTGATTCCTAACATGGTATCAAAGCTTATGCTCAAAATAGACATATCATACCATTCTGGAGAATCGTGATTCCTAACATGGTATCAGAGCCATACCCTAAACTTAGTCATGACAATAGAATCCTCAAATATCAAACACAAATTATGAGCCTCAAAAGTGTAGTAAAAAAATGACTAAAATGTCGAATAAAGGTGTACTTTGTTCGAGGGCTCCAAAGAAAGGAATCAAACCTTAGTTAAGAAGAGGTTGTTCAAGAACTCCATAAGCCTCAGAAGAGGCTTATAGTGTAGTTTGTTTGAGGGGAAAATTGTTAATGATCCTTGAAAGTAAGTCCCACAGTTGTTAGTTAATTTGTAGACAATACTGGAGATTCCTAACATTTTACAGATCTGTGCTAACCTCTTTAACGCCTTTGGAATCAGGATGCGCTTCTTTGTATGATTTTCTGAAGTCATCCCTGAAGTAGCACAATGAGCAATTTCAGCAAAGACTCAGGTAAAGAGATACTACCGTGTAGGAATCTGATAAATTCAACACTTGAAAATAGAAGGGGACATGGGGATTGCATACATGAAAACGAAAAAAGCTGTAGGAGGGCGTTTGGGGGCATTTGGATCTTTGTCTTTCTTCCCTCTCTTCTCCGTTCGGGATTTCTTAGCCTTTGGTTCTGATGGTGCTGATCTTTTCCTGTACAGCGACACAGTCAAGTTAATACAATTCAAAGCATCACCTTAACCAGACAAAGAATCAAGAAAAAAGAAATTAGTAAGATACTTTTCAGCTGGCTTTTTGGCTTGAGTTTGCTTCTCGACAGTCTGAGCCTCTGCCAAGAATCCAAAAAAGGTGAGTTTCGACCCAAAAGACGTCAACGGACAAACAAAATATTCACGAATTCACGCGAAAAATGTACCTAAATTCGTTCTAATTTTGGCGTCGAGGCTACAGCTGTGCATGCTGATTAGTGCTGCCGGAACACTTTTGCCGCACTCATCACTGTAAGCCGAAAATTGACCATTCAATTAAGAGGAATTAATTTCCACAATTCAACGGATTACGACAAGACGAACATTTCATTCGACTCTGACTAACTCAGACTGAAAAGCAAACTGATTAGCAGAGACTATCAACGCTTAAACAACAAAAACTCTAAAACCACAATTTAATTAGAAAATGATCGAAGCAATGAAGTGTTGGGAAACAACACGAACACGCCAGTAAAATTTACAGAAAAACGAACCCGGTATAAATACGCAACATTCAAAAGGTTCATCAATCATCCTACATCCTCTTTAGCACTAATCCAACCGACGCAACTCAACGAAAACGTTTATAAAGGAAATGAACATTGCATTCAACTCTAAAACGAAACTGGACTAACAGACAAACTGAGAACAATAAATTAAAGACAGAAAATGAACTCCATAAACTACTATGTGTTCCTAATGTAGTCGAAGAAACGTTGTGTTAGAAAGTATATCACAGTCACGCCGATGAATCAAACGTAGAAATGAAAGCAGAAAGAAAACACCAGAGATCCACAACCTAAGTATGTCCTCTTTAGTCCTAAGCCAGCAAATGCAACTCAAAATGAACATATAAGCAAAAAAAAAACAAGAACGCACCATCGAGCAAAAGCACTGCCATCTTTGGCTCTCACAAGCGAAGGGCCAGTACTGGCAGCAGCGGCCGGAGTAGCCTCCACTCTCTTTCTCGACTTCGACGATCCTCCACCGGCCATTTCCTACTCTCCGCAGCTAATTCGGTTATTTCGAAAACGCAGACAAATTGAAGCCAAAGGGAAATTTCTCGTAAGCGTAGAACGAAGCGTCCATTGTTAATAAAGCAAAACAACCAAGAAAGAGGGAAATTTTTTTGTAAATTTTGGCGCCCTTACTCCCCGCGTTTTGCTTTCGTTTCACGAGGATCGCTGACTTGGCTTCATCTCTCCCGTTGATTTTGAACCGTTTCGTTTCGACGTTCCAAATTCATACTTTCTTTGTCTCTGTAAGAACGCTCACTAAATGGGCCTGGACTGAACTTATTGGGCCTTGGATAAACTTGGTCATGGGCTTTTGGGTTTAACCAAAAGCCCAACTCTAGCCGACATGTTAATGGGCCTGTACTGAACTTATTGGGCCTTGTATAAACTTGGTCATGGGCTTTTGGGTTGAACCAAAAGCCCAACTCTAGCCGACACGTTAAATGGGCCTAGATCGACGAGTTGGGTTTGATATGAGCCCAACCAACTCTAACCGACACGTGCCATCAAACCAGCAAACCAAAGTCTTTCAATTAGTTTTGGTTGGTCAGCTTGATTTTGCTTGTAATATTATCTACAACATTTCATAAATATTTCCAAAATTACCCTTTTAAGTATAATCATTTAGAAATTTGTAGGGCCATCGGGATCTATAATACATAACACGACGATCTAGAAAGGTATCGTGACATCTGGAGTTCACTCATTATAGAAAATCTATCAAAATTTTACTATTTATTAGATTGAGAACCGTTATACACGAGTCTCGTTTTGTAAATCGAGACCAAGCACATCGGTTTCACCTATTTTTATTAAGTACTAGTTCATTAGTAGCATTAAAAACTTTATTTTTTAGTTTAATAGTACGGGAGATAAAGAGTTCGAATATGTTGACCTTTTCGATCGATGGTACATATTTTATGTCAAGTGACCTCGTTCATGTTGACTCATGACACTGTAAAGTTGTTCGTGCGTGCTGGAGAACAGCTAGAAGAATAAAGAAAAATGCTAAATTATAAAAAGCGTGAATATTAACGTACGTTAATTCTACCAGAACTCGAGTATGCGAAATTTGAGCTATTTAAGACCATATGACCACAAGGACCACCAACTTTACTTGCATTACATCAAATTGGCGAGCAAAAGTGGTCAAAGTATCTTTAAATTGATAAATACCGTCCACTTGAAAGTGACAAGATTAAATCTATATACATCGAACAATTGGTTAAAAACGATTATGTTTCTGTTTAGGATGTAATCGATAAAAAATTAGTAAAAGCAAATGACAATATAGACGATAATTCAAGTACATTCAAAACGTGAATCACTTGAACTACTTGAAAAAAATTAATCTACACTCTTAATGTGAGATCCTATTCGGTTGGAAAGGAAAACAAAACATTATCTATAACGGTGTGAAAACATGTTTCTAGTAAACATGTTTTAAAATTGTGAGGCTGACGACAATACACAAAAGGTCAAAATGGACAATATTTTTCTAATAGTAAGCTTTGGCTATTACAAATAACATTAGAGCCAGACACAGGACAACGTGCCAGAGAGGATGTTGGTCTCAAAGGGATAGATTGTGCGATTCCATATCCGTTGAAAAAGGAATAAAACATTCATAACAAGGGAACATTCTGTTTTAAAATTGTCATACTGGCAACAATATGTAACGGGCATAAACAGACAACATCTATTAGCTATGGAATGTTACACTTCAACTCTACGAGTCGTGTCATTGAAAACCTAATAATTATAACCGTCAAATCTAAGTCTGAGAGTAAACGAGCTTAATCGAGTATAGATTTAGTTACTAAAATTTAAGATTTATAGATTTTTTTCCCAAGAAAATTGGAGGTGCACTTCAAGTGCACTACACGAGTACAGTCTGGATACTCACGGCCGTTAACTCGTCGTCGATCTAAAATTCCGAAAAAAAAAAAAAAAGAAATTCAGAAAAAAAAAAAACCTCTTTCAGCTTCGGCGTTGAACGGAAACTTCAAACCTCAAACCCTACGTAGTACGGAGGGAGAGAAGTTACTTCCTCTGCCACTACAATCTGCCACTCCTCGTATGAATTCCTTCTTCTTTTCGTTCATTTCCATCGCCACATTAATCGGCTTTTAACCATTCACCGTCTTGTTCGTCGATCTTGTTCAGTTCACTTCAATTTTTGAAGGTCAGTTTGAATTTGTGTGTGCGAATCTCGGAGTACTGTTGGTTTTGTAATGGGATCTTTTTTTTTTTTTTTTTTCTTTTACCCTAATCACTCATTTCGCCTCATGCATGCAGCGTCGAGGATTCGATGCTGTTATGTTTATAGGTTGAGTAATTGAAGTTCATGTTCAACGTTTTTTGAGGGGATAGTTCTTGATCTTCGAGTGACTGGTTTAATGGGGCCGGCACGGGAAGCATTATGCTTTGTAGACGAAGGAAAAAAAAGAATTTAAGGTTTTAGTTTCTATTTAGAAGGGTAATTTGAAAGTGGAATCGTTGAATTTGATGCTCTAATCGGTTTCTTTTCAGGTGCTCGGGTGCTTCGAATTTTTTTCGGGATTTGGATTTGGACTGCTTTTCTTGCATTATGGGGATACCGTGTGAGCATGTTTGTCGATAGACCTGCTACTTCACAATTGGAGTTATAGCAGATTTTTAACACTATGTGTTTAAGGTAGGAGAATAAACATATATGGGAAACGTATAGTCTATGGAGTTAATTTTTAGCCTTCCATTTCAATTGCTTTCATTGTCTCTGTCATCAGCTCCTTGTCCCATATTCTAGGAACTATGAGGGCGTCTCTCCATGTTTGTTTTATTTTTATTTTTTGTCGATCTGGCTTGCTACTTCTGAAAATGTTTCAAATTAAGCATACACCATGCATTATTATTATCAATCAGTGACTTATGTGACTGTATATTTGACTGTAATGGCCTTATTTAACTTATACAGTTTCTTTTTACTCCCTGCCTGTAGATTTCTTAAGTTTCATAAGTTTCTCTTTACTGCGTTCTCGATGTTTTGACAATTTTCTTGGTATTCAACTAATAATAAGACGTATGGCATTTAATTTTTTTTCCTTTTCTTTGGGTATTTGCAGAGATGTTTTTGACATAGAGGTCCCTGCTTAATGAATATGCTGCATCTGAAAAGATTTATAATGCAGCATGGCTATGCGTTTGATTATTCAGTCTATCATTGAAAATTCGTTGATTTAGCTCAGAGGCACTTCACATTTGTAAGTAGATGTTTTTGTAACTTTATATTCTTAGATTGCTCGGACTACGTATCTGGTGGTAGCAGCTGATTATTTGATCAGTCTGTTGCTTATCTATTGGTTTTTTTCATAACAAGGCAATTTCTATGATTTTCTGTGGCAGTTTTGCTAATCTTTGTGTAGCTTCTTCCTTGTTTTGTCGAAGAAGAGAGATCTCGCAGTTGAACCATCATGTCTGTGACTAACCTTATAGAAATTAGTTCATCAGACAGTGAAATAGAGCTAGAATATATTAGTGACAGCGACGATGCTGCACCAAGTATTGGGGAACCTAGTCACAGCAGAAAGCTTCCTCATTGGGCATCCACAGATTTTGGTCCAGGTCAAAGTGAGTTGTGCTCAAGATTAATAGTTCTTTTTAGTACTTTCTCAAAAAAACTGGTAAAGGGGAAAAAACTGACAATCAAATTTGCAGGTAATGTTAATAACAGCCCGCATTCTGGTTCTAATGGCGATGCTGGAGCCTCAAATCATCATATTGTCCTTGCAGATGATTCCGATTATCTTACTGAAAATGGGAATACTGGTCTACCTCGAACTGTGAATTCTCGAATTGCAACCACAGCTGGTGCAGATTATGAAAGATTATCTTCTCAACAGGCTTTTAAGAGGACCCTTCCTTATACTTTTCAGTCACATGCACCCCCTACAAAATCAAATAACTTAGTAGACAATGTGGGCAGCAGTCAAATTCGTGATGCCCACATCAGTTCTTATGATTCAGCAAGGCCAAGTTCAACTAGCGGCAGGGTTTATGGGAGAGAGAATGTTTTCAGAGGCAACGGTGACGATGCTGTTAGTTCTGAGAACAGGGATTACAGGGTTCTCCCTGTGAGTTTGGCACCAGGGAAAACTATACCTTCTTCACAGTATCCAAGTGAACATCCCTACCGCTCTGGTTATGGTGAAGAAATGGTTGCTGGAAGTGATGAGAGATTGATTTATCAAGCAGCATTGGAGGTATTTTTTATATAAAAACTTTTAGGCTATTGTATTTTAGTTTTGATAAAATTCTCATAACTAGATTTTACATTTTAAGATTCTTTGGCTTTCGTTACTAGCAAATATATATATATATATTTTTTATAAGAAACAATTTCATTGATGAGTGAAATTTACAAGAGGGATGTATAATCCATGATGTTTACAAAAGACCTTCCCAATTTGCAATGAGGGAGGTATAACTATAGGAAGTAAAAATATTAGACAGTTTACACCAAGATATAGCTTGGTAAACAACATTGTTGAAAAGTTTTGTGTAGGTCTGTGTTGTTTCTGCAAATATTCTCTGATTTCTTTCTTTCCACAGATTCCAAAAGAAAGCCATGATGAGGTTTTTCCATAATAACTAGGGCTTTTGCGTTCTTGAAAGGGTGGTACGTTAAGGCCATATCCAAAAAATCCTTTACCTCCCTAGGAAATGCGAGATGCCATCTGAATATATTAAGAATCGTTGTCCAGAAATTTTGAGTGTATGTGCATTCCATAAACAAGTGACTTTGTGATTCGTTTGCTTGCAAATATGGAGATGTCTATTTTGAGATAGTAGTCCATTTCTTCTTTCCTTTTAGTCTAGGCTCTTCTCACTACCCACAACAAAGAAAAAAGGAGAGGAGGGTTTGCCTCAAGGGTAATGAGGATATAATGCACCATTTCAAGTGCCACTTGTTTTCTTTCTTTATTTATTAGTTTTCATACGAAACATGCTACCATTTCACTTATTAGGTAATGCCTTTAGTTGCAAACAGTGTAAACATGCTACCAT